TAAAATCTTTAAAGTTTAATATCGCTATTTTTCGTCAAAAATTTCAATGAAACGCACATGAAAAACGCATTTTAATTATTAGCCATAAACCTTTTGTTTTGCTTCAAAGAGAGTTCAGTACCAGCACGTCTGTGACGTCGGTGAAACAATTTAGCCGGAATAATCAATGTGCCTGCATGTCAGTCGAATTATTTCGAGAGGAAAAGAGAGAAAGAGAAAGTAATAGGGAGTAGGGTGGATGGGTAAAATTAGACCATCAGCGAATGCGCGGCTTGAAATAAAATTCAAAGTATCGGCTTTGCATTTGATCAGCGGCGGCGACGGCGAATAAAGAAGCCCCGTATCCTGCTCCGCTCGCCGTGCCCGCGACGGAGCGAATCAATCCTTGAACTTCAAAGGAATCCCGTCGCTCTGATCCTTCGGGATTCCCTGATACGCGTGGGAGTCTTTAATCAGGAAACGAACCGACAGCCCTCAACGGCGCGTCGACCCCGCGGCGCTCGCTTTCGCCGTTGTCTTTGAGCCGTCGTAGTGGTCGGCTTGTCGCGCGGCATATTAATTCTCTAATTATTAAACTAATTGCCGAGTTAATTGGCTCGCGGGAAACGCTGCAAACCGGAGGCGAACGGGAATTCAAGGAAAGGGAAACTTACGCACCGTCGCGGATCGTGCACCATGCGCAAAGTACGCAAGTACCTTCGCTGTGGGTCGCGCGAATCATTCCCCGATCGTGAGAACCTGGCGGGCTTCCAGCGACAACCTACGTCGTCTAACGCTGAAGGATTAGCGATCAGCTGTAATTCACCGTGGCCACCGAGTGTGCCATCTGTAACGTAGAATCGCGGAAAGAGGGTGAGTGCGACGGAGATTGTCTGACGCAATTAAAGAATTGTCTCTCAAGTTACGCCCAAATGACAATCGATATACACTCTTGCGAGATAGTTGCCTACATGGAAAAAACTACTATAGTTGCTACGTCCATATATGATTAGAGAGAAAATTGATATAATTTAAAATGAAATATACATGGCATTAAAAGTTGCTGTTATCACGTGCCCATCTATACAGTTCTCACAGCCACAATTCTTATAAGATATGTAATCTTATAAGATATATTATCTTATAAGATATATTAGTACATCCTCGTATACATAGTTGTCTCAACCGAAAGAATATTATTATTTTTCTGTTGCGGTTCAGAACGAATATGGTTGGGAGATCCGTAGAGTTTGGTTGCACCATACAGCGCTTTATATACTACTCAAACACATATGGATAGGCGATAAAAAAGGTTAGTGTACTACTTTCCCCGAGAGTACTATGGTTATGTACGATACCTATAACCATTTTGTATACATGGGCGAAAACTAGCATGAATATTTTGTTGTGGAAACTATATTTAGATGAGTGATATCCTTAGTGTTATCTCCGCGTAGAATAAACAGAATTTTCGCAAAGAGAAAGAGAGAGAGTGAGAGTGAGAAAAGAGCATTGAGGCCAATCGCGTTACGTTTACTTCGACGCACTTGCATTCATCGTCCATATACCTGCTCACACGCATTCGAGGATCAACACGTACACAACGGCGTACGGTATATTTATGCCTCTGGAATGCAAAGCACGTCGCGGCCGTTCCTATCCCGATACGTACTTTATTCAATGCGAAGCGCGAACACTTCGTATCAGAGGCACGCGCGAACGCGAGCGCGAAAGAAGACGCGTCGCGGTTTCGCGTCCCGCTCTGAGTTTAAACTCCGAAACTAACCGTGCACGGTAGCATGTCCTACGGACTAGCAGGACAGGGTCAAAGAGGTCTGCGCGTGGTTCTATTGTGCTGCCAGCTAACTACTGCTTACTGCAACACAAAGCCCTGAAAAGCCGACGAATTATTTAAAAAGACTCGTTATTGTTCCGCGAAAACGAATGGTCAAACCGCCGCGTAACCGCTTGCTAACCAGACAAGAGAGAGTGAGAAAGAGAGAGAGAGAGAGAGAGAGAGAGAGAGAGAACTCGGAGCGGAAAGAAAAACGGTTGCGCTTACAGAAAC